GGCATGGCCGCGTCCAGTGGGAGGCCCAGCGGCTGCCCTGTGCCACCGGGACCTCGGCTTTGAGAACGGGCGAGTGCTGGGCTGCGGACGGGCTGTCCGGCCGCCTCCTGGCCCCGCCCCACCGGCCCCGGCCCCTCACCTCGTCCTCCTGTCCCTAGAAAACGCAGGCTGAGGTGGAGGGCCTGGGCACCGGCGTGGCCCGGCTCTCTGCTGAGGCAGAGCAGATCCTGGCCCTGCCTGAACCATCACCCGCAGCGCCCACCCTGCGGTCAGAGCTGGAGGTGACCCTGGGCAAGCTGGAACAGGTCCGCAGCCTATCGGCCATCTACCTGGAGAAGTGAGTGTGTGGCCAGTGGCCGGGGAGAGCTTGAGAATGGAGCCGGACCGCCCTGTGCCAGTGGGGCAGGCTGCTGGTGGGCAGCGGGCAAGAGCAGCCCGGGGGTCCGCGAAGGACCTGGCCCGAGGCCGCCCACATGGACCTGGAGGAGGGAGACGGGGCACCGGGCCAGCCTGCCTCGCAGAGCTGGACTTCCTAGGCCTGGGGGGGCACAGGGGGACGTCAGAGGGCTCACTGAGGCAGGGAAGTCAGGACTTCGGGGGCCCCACTGGGGACGGGGAGCTTAAGGGTCCACTATTGAAGGCTGTGGCCAGATTGGAGGGTGTCTGGACAGGTCAGGAGAGTGAGGAACACCAGAGAGAGATGCCCTGGGTGAGAGGGAATCCGGCCCCCTCAGGGGAGGGGTTTCTCGGCAGAGGGGAGAATCAAAGGGGCGAGTGATGGTGAGGCAGCAGAGACCCCAATGCCTCGTCTCCTGGGGGCTGCACCCTCTCCAAGTCTCTGCTCCTGCGTCCCAAGCCCAGGCCGCTTGTCTCGACTGTCGTAATTCAGAGGCGCGGGAGGCACGTTTATGAGGCCCCAGGGCGCCTCTTCAGAAGCCCGGCCAGGAGCTGCGGGCTTCTCCCGGCCCTCACCTCCCGTCCACCGGGGGAGCCGTGCCATGGGGCGCGTGCGGGCCTTTGCCCGACCACGTGGGGCTAGAGGGCTGTGTGCTGCTTCCTGCCCTGCAGGCGGCCTGGGTGACCCCACCCCAGTGCCTGCAGCCGCTGCTCCCCCACCAGCATGCCCTGGAGCCAGCACGCAGGCGGGCGGTGTCCCCTCTTCCAAGAGGCTGTACCCCGCTCCCCAGGCCTGTTTCCCCTGAGGCCCACACTCGAGGGGTCGCCCCCTCACACCGCCCCGCCCCACCCTGCTCTCCTGCAGGCTGAAGACCATCAGCCTGGTGATCCGCAGCACGCAGGGGGCTGAGGACGTGCTCAAGGCCCACGAGGAGCAGCTGAAGGAGGCCCAGGCCGTGCCCTCTGCCCTCCCAGAGCTCGAGGCCACCAAGGCCACGCTGAAGGTACCGCGGCTGGGGTGCGCCCACGTGGGCCGGGGAGGTGGGGGCCTCGGGCACCCGGCTGCAGCGGCTACTGCTCTCTGGCCCCACAGAAGCTGCGGGCCCAGGCGGAGACGCAGCAGCCAGTGTTTGACGCCCTGCGGGACGAGCTGCGGGGCGCACAGGAGGTGGGTGAGCGGCTGCAGCAGCGGCACGGCGAGCGGGACGTGGAGCTGGAGCGCTGGCGGGAGCGGGCCGTCCAGCTGCTGGAGCGCTGGCAGGCGGCGCTGGCCCAGACGGACCTGCGGCAGCGAGAGCTGGAGCAGCTCGGCCGCCAGCTGCGCTACTACCGCGAGAGCGCCGACCCGCTGGGCGCCTGGCTGC